GAGCCATATTTACGGAGATAAATCGATTTAAAGGTTTGGTAGGCCCACCGGCCGGATTTTGGAATATTTTATACTGGGATTTTGGAATATTTTATACTGGGAAATCCGGGTATGAAAATTTCGAGCATCTGAACACCCCTCTTTTCGCGATTAGAGCCATATTTACGGAGATAAATCGATTTAAAGATTTGGTAGGGCCACCATTGAATATTCGAAGAGTATTGTGGATTGAAGCCGCAGGCATACAAGAAAGAGACATTTCAAATAGTGTAATATGGTCTGGTTGTTCATAATCGTAACCGTTTGAACCAGCACGTTATGATTTCGCAGTGCAAGTGTAAGTTTTAAATACACATTTTAATTATATGTTTTGTGATATTTTCGTACAAAACTAACAATTGGAAAATATTTTCTGTTACAGATTACAAAATGAGTAAAATAAGATGTATTCGCCCATTCAAAGACATTCAGTGTTCGAAAGAGCTGCGATATCTCACGGATGGTATCATCCAAAAACTAAAATCAATTGGATTTTCCAAGGTATCCACACTGAACACCAAGGATTTTCGTGTTTGTTCGTCTTGCCGTCTATATATTGATTCAAGAGCTCACCTCACCCAAAACGAGGAACAAAGCGTAGCCGGCGGCTCAAGGATGCCAACTGTTCAGACCATACCTGATGTACCTGTTTCGCAAAGCTATGAAAGTTTGGTCACGATACCATCAGAGTCAACGCTAAGCACAATTAAATCAAATGAAGACTTCACGATGCCTGTAGACGTCGAAATATTCAACCGAGGAATAGCAGCTATTCGTGTTTCGCCTATAGATTTAGGTAAGGTTAAAAATGTTCACTATCCTGAAAAAAAGTGCGCTAAAATCGTCGAAGGTGTACGAAGAAATCTTTTTAAATTAGACGCTAAAACAGAAAAAGCAAACGAGTTTGATGAAGTCATAGAAAATATGAAAATTAATTTTTTTAATTCAGCCACAAGGCAAGAAAAACTATCAATTTTATCATCGTTGCCAAAATCATGGTCAGTACAAAAAATTGTAGACGAATTTAAAACCAGTAGAAATATGGCATCAGATGCAAGAAAGGAAAGAGATAATGTATTTGATTCATCTCAAGGTTCAAGCTCTGGAAAAGCTTTGAGTAATGAAACAAAAGAACTGGTTTTGAATTTTTTTGAGGACGATGATATAAGCCGTGCAATGCCAGGCCAAAGAGATTTTGTTAGCGTAAAGAAAGGAAATAAGAGATTAGCTGTTCAGAAAAGATTGTTAATGATGACATTGAGAGAAGCTTTTAATCGCTTTAATGAAATGTACGTCAATGAAAAAATAGGGTTTTCATCATTTGCAAGCCTCCGGCCAAGGCAATGTAAACTATTGACTATCACAGGAACACATAATGTTTGCGTTTGCACTACGCATGAAAATGTCAATTTAATTCTACATAGCATAAAAAAATACAATGTCTTGAATGATCTAAAAACATTAACGAATAGATTACTTTGCGAAAATAAGACAACTCATTGCCATCTACGAAGATGTAAAAACTGCCCAGATACCTCAGTTTTAGAAGACAGTTTATTGAAACAACTGGAAGAAAACTTTGTTGAAAAGCTTTCATTCGAACAATGGGTTACCACTGACAGATGTGATTTAGAAACTATTGTAAAGCAAACCGATGAGTTTGTTTCATTTTTCAGCTCAAAATTAGAAAGTTTGATTCTGCATGATTTTGTAAAAACCGAACAATCCAATTTTTTGAAAACTACACAACAAAACTTGCAAGATGGTGAATTTTTAGCTATTTGTGACTTTTCTGAAAATTACAGCTTCGTTTTGCAGGATGAAGTTCAATCACACCATTGGAACGTGCAACAGGCCACAATCCATCCTTTCGTAATATATTATACTGAAAATATGCAAATTAAACATTTTAGCTTCATTATAATTTCTGAAGAACTAAGACATGATTCAGTCACTGTCAATTTGTTTATTGGTAAAATGATAAACTTTTTACAAATTGATCAAAATAAAAACATAAAAAAAAATTATTTTATGTCAGATGGTGCTGCTTCACAGCATAAAAACCGAAAAAACTTTTCTAGCCTTTGTAAATTTAAGTCAAAGTATGGTATTGACGCTGAATGGCATTTCTTCGCAACATCGCACGGAAAAGGTCCATGCGATGCTATTGGAGGTACGATAAAACGCATGGCTACCAGAGCAAGTTTAGCCAAAGAACGCGAACACCCGATAAAGACTGCAAGAGAGTTGTTTAATTGGGCAAACAAACGAAAAGAAGAAGAACTTACAAAGTTGTCATTTTGTTATTCTACTACAGAAGAATACGAAAATATGTCTTTGCAGCTAAATAATCAATATAATAATGCAAAAACAATTCAAGGAACTCTAAAATTCCACTCATTTCTTCCTCTATCAGAAAATACAATAAAGGCAAAGCTTTATTCAAACTGTCCTGACAATGATGCCAAAATATTCAATATTGTTAAGAAAGTTGTGTAAACAATAATTTTATAAAAATACAGGAATAAAAATAAACTGATGATATCCACCATATAATGTTATTTTTTATTGCGCACAATCACCATCCCTGAAAAATAAGCTTAATTCGCTCTTTTGAATCTTGCTAATTGAGGAGCTTACATTTGCAGTTCTCAAAAAGGTGTATCTCGAAATCGAGTTGTCTCATCGGTTTGATGTCTGTGGCGATGTTCGGCAATAGAGAGAAAATATGCACAGTATAAACACATCCAGTTTAAATGGATTAAACTGTTAGGCGATATGCAAGAGTTGAATGCACATTTTCAGCACAACGCACCAAAAATCACTTGAAGAAATCATTGTTCCTGATAGTGGGATTTTGTAACTTGTTTTTCAAAATACTTTTAAGGCAGAGAATTTCACTCGAATCTTTAAGCTGTCAGTGTCATTTTAACTCAAAATTTTCCAATCTTTCCGAAAAAAAACTTTTCAAGCTGGAAAAACACGGAGTACATCCGAAAAGGGCCAAAACTTATTAAGTTATCAAAAAAAACAATATTAAATCAGTAATATCTTCTAAACGGTGCATCTTAGAAAAATGTTACCGAAGTACTTTTTGTTTGCAAATTTAATGTACTTTCATAAAATTAGGGTGACAAACTTTTTTGACTTTTCTTAATAGCTTTTTTGAAAATTGTATTTTTTTAAAAAACAATTTTTTTCATCGTAACCTATTTTTCTCCAGAACAGCCTACTGTGTACTAGATAGCATTTTCAGTCAGCTATAACATAAGGATAATAAAAAAATTATTGACATGTCACTTTAAAGGGAAAATTTATATTTTAGTTCAAAACACAAATACCAAACTTTTTTTTACCGTGCATATTTTTTCCATATAACACCAACAATTGTCTAAAACTTCGCCCAAGACACCAAACCAATCGGACAAACCGTTTCCGAGATACATTTTTTGAAGATATCATGTGCATTTTTCATAGGCCCTTCTCATAAGTAAGGCTAGATTCAAAATGGCGAACCAAGTATGCAAAACGGCGTTTTTCTTCCCCAAAAACTTGTATGCAAGGTTTCATGCAAATCAAAAAAGATGAAAATTACTCGTTGCTTTAATGATATGGAACCGCTCAGCAACAAATTATCTCCGTGACGCTGAATGGTACTTGCGGAAGCCATCGGTGGTGCACCTTCCGGTTTCTATTGTGTAACGCGCACCTCCTCCACCCTGAACCGAGAGCAGTCCGGGAGCTCGCATCTGGCGGCCAATCACCTCGTTCAGCTTCGTGTTGAACGTCCGCAGCTTATCGTGAGTCGCCATTTGTGCTTCGCAAATCTATCTCAACTCTCGAGCCTTGTAATCTTTGAAGCAATTCTCCAAACCGTCCTTCTGCAACTCGGGGTTTTCCTTTTGGTATTCTTCCTTTTGCAGTTCGAGCTTATTTTGGTAGTCCTGATATTTCCGAGGATATTCCTGGGTAAGCTTGGCCTGGTCCTGATCCTGTGGGACTTCCTCCAAGGACATGCAGTGACTTGGTAGGAATGTTGAATGGAAAAATCAATAAATCATAGCCTTCTACAAACTGTGCCATCAAAATGGTAAGTGTCTAATGTCAAAAATGAATCAGCAGTCGGCGTAACTATGGCGAGCGTAATACCCCGTACAGACTATTACCCCGTTCACATTACAGCCTATATCACGTAATATAGACTGTCTTGCAATGAGCACTCATACATAGGATTTCCAGTGAAAACTAGATGTATGAGTGCTCATTGCAAGACAGCGTAAATCACGTGATATACGCTGTAATGTGAACGGGGTATATGGCTTATATCGTGTAATATAGGCTGTCTTGCAATGAGCACTCATACATAGGATTTCCAGTGAAAACTAGATGTATGAGTGCTCATTGCAAGACAGCGTATATCACGTGATATACGCTGTAATGTGAACGGGGTATTAGGAGGACGTCCCTTTCTAGCAATTGGGTAAATATATTAAATGATTAATTTCACCATAATCCCTTGAATTTTTGGAATAGTTATAATTGTATGCTCTATGTGTCATTATAACATTCCACAATTCTTTAAAAACTTTTCAAAGATTTATGTGAGAAGAGAACGAGCAGCCATCTACGATCTACGATCTTTCGAAAACTGTCTGGACAGCCCCTAGGCGCAATTCAACAGTACAAAGTAATCCACCAGATGGCATAATTCAGCATTCATTCGGATCGTTGTCGAATCAGAAAGAGTATTTTACAAATTGACATTATTTTATATTTCCACCAAAATACTGTACCAACTACAATAAGGACATCTTCTGTACAAAATATACCTCAGTCACGAGTAAGTTCTGCTTTTATAAAAATACTAATATTTCGTCTCTAGCTCTATTAACTGGTTCCAACATATCACTTAACAACGCTCATTGTTATTTACACAAAAACCACCATTTTATCAAATCACTCTAATAACCGTACAGGTGCGACGCGGCCGTATACATCGGCATTAGCATGGCGGCCGGCGCCAACCCATACGTATACCGCTCCTGTGGCATGTGCGTTTTGGTGTGCTTCTTGAGGTGATCCCGTCGGCCAAACTTCTTTCCGCAGGTCTGGCAAGCGTACGGCCGAATTCCGGTATGGATCCGCTTGTGACGGGTTAGTTCTTCATTACGGGTAAACGTCTTGCCACAGCTCTGTTCGTCACACTTGAAAGGGCGCTCTCCTGTGAGGATTAGATACAAATTTAGTTTCACAATTGAAGTTTTTTTTTCATTCCGAAGAACCTACCGGTATGAATTCGAATGTGACCCTTAAGCTGGCCATTGTTGGAGAAGGCTACGTCACAGTGAGGGCACTTGAACTTCTTCGGTCGCTGCTTGCGACTGCTCAGCAGCTTGGCTTTCGCATCTTCACTAAGCACTCGGAAGTACTCCTGTTCCATCTGATCGTACGTCAGTGGATCGATCGGTAATCCGGTAAAGTTGAAACCTGGCGGTAGTAAATCAACTCCCAGCTTCTGTTGGTTGTAGAAATAATAGTAGGAAGCCAAATCCGCTGGATGACCGAGAAACGCGGCACTGATATCCAGTTCGGGTGTTCCGGGCAAAGGCCCCTTCGAAGGACTAAACGGAGGCGACTTGGGCTCGGACGAAACGGGACTTTCCATATCCAAACGCGCTCGAACTCTCAGCTCACATGGTTCACTTTTAATCGATCCTTCACTTCCACAATCACTGGATGTGTTAGGACTCGTGCTGGCCTTGTTCACAGCTGCGGCATCCCACGGCCGAAACAGTCGCGAGTAGGTTTGCGGAGGTGCAATAGATTTCACCGACATGGTTCAGAAATAGAAACCCTCAAGAAGACCACTCGAAACGTCAATCGTGCGCGCGCGCAAACTTAAAAAACCATATCCTCAATCACACTGTCGTTGTTTACACTTGGCTATCCGTCTGCAAACTGAACAGTCTGGACGCAAAATCAACAAATTTAACACAAAACCAAACAATAGGGACGACACACAACCAGCCGGGGATGAAGGGACCACAAAGACGACGATGACGATAGCATCCCTTTGGCCGCAGCCAAGAAGATTTTTTGTCACTTTCTTGTACTCGTCTAATTGAAACATATATAGGGAGAGAGGCAAAGTCGTCCCGCATGAAAAAAGGGCGAAACACGAGGGGGAGAAATCAATGTTTACGAACGAACGCTATAATAGGGAGAATACGGGTGGAAAGATGGAATTGCAAGATAGATGCAAGCGGAAGAGCCCAAAGAGGGAAAGTTGCCTCCTCCCATTTTTCGGAATTCTCGCTTTGGTGTGGATATTCGCGTTTCGATGTTCCCCCTGGTTCCAGGATAATGTGTAGGGAATTGTAACAGGGAAGATATATGGAAATGGCGGTGTGGTGAATTCTTGGTTGGGTTGCAGGGAGGTTGTGGTGAAACTTGCCATTATGATGGGATGAGTATAGGGTGGAAAAGGGATTTTTTTTCGTAATGTTCAGTAATTTGCATCAACTGATTACACCACTAGATTTGAGTAGAGTGAATTTCTATTTTCATATTTATGTAGGGCTCAGACCTAATTTTGGGCCTACTAGGCACAAGCCTCTATTTTCACTGCAGATGACTTCTAAATTTAATTTACCTTTTTGTACGTACCCTAAGATTTGTAAAAGAGAAACAAATTGTTGAGATATTGTTAAAAATCTAAAGCGAACCCACTCGTATCAATATATTGAGGCGAAGCAGAATTATTGAATATAATATTGATGATGTGAGTATAGAAATATTGTCAATATCGATGTATTGACGTCAATATAAAATGTATTGACAATACGATTATTGCTTGCTTGAGCTTGAGCTTGAGCTTGATTGACCGCCCACGGTTGCTACTCTGTTATTGCCAGATCAGCTGTAATTACACAGAGAACCAATAGACGATGCTTGGGACTAGCAATCATCCTCAATGTATAAAAACTGGTGATCTTAAATTAGGCAATACCAGCGCCGGCCGCGCCCGAACACAGGTCAAGAAAGGAATGGGAAGGATTGTGTTGACATGACACTCGCTTTGATGGAAGCCGAGAACACCTCTGCACTTCCACGAGGAATCACTGGGTTTGCAGCAGGGTTCGTTTTGGTAAACGATAAGCTGAATTGATGTCCTAACGATCATATAACGCGAAGGAGCTTGGGACTAAACCCACGGTCTTCTGCTCAGTAAGCAAAAACGTTTGCCACTAGGCAGACGAGCACCTTTTTAATCACCGAGTTGCTGTTATTACCATGTAGTCATATTACAAATAAAACGATTGACGAATCTTGAATGTGGATGGGCCTGAGATTAGACTCATGATGTTCTGCTCAGTAAGCAAAAACGGTTGCTCTAAGGCCACCGAGCCCCTCATATCACATAATACCGTTGCTCAAATTTGTGTATCCATTCAAACCCGGAACCAACGACAACAACTAGTTTCGCAAAATACACGATACACAAGCGATTTTACCATAAATCTCTTTGATATGTAAGGACCTGGGACCGCGTTTTTCTGCTCAGTAAGCAGGACACTGTAACCGACGATCTTTAAAATCCGAAAACTAAAAACTACGAAAAAGTACTTAGGCCTTCATTAAGTTCCACTTTCACGCGACGTTCAATGTTTCAATTTGCTCTTTACGTATTGTTCAGGCTATAAATAGGCTCTTTTCAAAAGTTACGCGAGAAATACGCACAATCGTCGCCTACCTTGCAAAACTGGTTCTAAACGACAACAAAGGCATAAGCAACGATGGATTGTTGAACTTTGCTGGCTGGTGTAGTGCTGCTGAAAAAAGATAAGTGTATTATTTTGGTTAGTGATCGTTTGGATTTGGGTCACCCCACGTTGTGTTTAGGTTAGTACAAATAAATAATACTATTTAGTCATATAAATCACCACAGCTTATTATCTTCAGCGTTATCGGTTTTCGTTTCTGGATCTTTAGTTGCCTCTGTGATATACTTACTTGCGGCATACTATTTTGGGAGTGTATATGAGCGTGTACCATGTACGGTAGCTCATCTCTCATCGTGATGGTGGGACATAGTAGACAAATTAGAGAGAAAACAAGGAGGTATTAGTAGAGAGAAGAGAGAAGAGAGAGAGATTAGAGAGAAGAGGAAAGAAGATCAGACAAATAAAAAAGGGATGAAGTAGATAACAAATAAAAGAAACGTAGGCAGATTATTAGAAAAGGCATTATCCGAGACTCGGCAATCAAATGTCACTCCCGCCGAGATCTCAGCGAAACCCCCTCCCCGCCGAGACCCACACAGCCGAGCTCGGTAGAAAAAACTAAGTGTGTAGATAGATTAGTAGGAAAATAAATAAAACTACTTTATGACTCAAAGTGCAATGAATGAGCGTTAGTTTCGGGATCATTTCAGTGTTAGAGTTATGTTAGTTTTGATCCGTAATCAGCCCTGCTGACCCCTCCAACATTAGTTGCAGGCAGTGGTAGTTAGATAATGCGGCACTGTAACTACTACTATTTTAGAAGTTGAGGTAACTAGTGTATTAAATAATCTAGGTCCTATTTAGGATTATATCTGAAAAATCCAAATCTGGCCAACGCCCACCCTAAACCTAAACCTGTTCTAATCCACCTGAAATGACTAACGAATGGAAGACTTTGACTACCCAGCCATGCAATAGTCTCATTCCGTGCCTTATGGCAACTTGATGATTCTATTGCGCTCATCTTCTTGCACCACCCAGGGGAGACTTGGACCTGTACCCAATGCTTAACTTATCTCCTTTCCACTCAGCTACTCGCAATTTCTTGTGATATAGTGGGCGGAATATTATTATATGAGACAATTCAATGCAGACGTCTTTCCAAATTTGGCAGATCGACAGGTAATCGGTGAGTTACCACGATAGTTGCTATTCAACAACTCGACAACGTCCCATCGTCAACGCCTGCTATGAGAATTTCCCATTGCAGACGCCAACGAAATGACGTCATCGAGCTATCGATCAACTACCCTGGTTATCGCCTGGTACCTTATAGCACGATGCTAGGAGGCGAACCGGAAGAATCGATGAGCTACCTCCCCCTGTATTGACAATACGATTATTGTCAATAAAAGCAACCGTGTTACGTCCACTTAACACTGCTTCTTGACCCCAAACTCGGCCTACAGATTCTAAATTAGGTCTAATGCATTGAAACGCCGGCCTATTGGATGAAGATAAAAATTGATTCGGTCGGAGCGCTTCTTTTGTTTTTGAGAAAAATGGATGTAAACATTCATATCACGCGTTCTCATTGACTTCGTTCGGTAGCTATTGAACTAAAGTATCGTACCAAATGCATAGTTAACTCTGAAACAATGGATTTATTTATTTGATTTTTGACGTAGCACTACGTCTTTCATTTTTATACTGGGGGTACACTTTGTGAAAACCAAAAATGGAACATGAAACAAAATTATGAAAGATTTAGAAAATTAATAACTTAGCTGCTCCTGGACCAATTTCGATAATTTTATCACCAGTCGATCAGAAATCTTTCTACGCATAAATAGTATTACTTCCGACTGATGATTTTCAACGTGAAGTTATTGAAAAAGTGGTAATGTCAAGCATTGTCCAATGTACAAATGAAAAGTGATACTTTTATCACTGTTTTCATGAAATAAACGTTCTTCCCAAACCCAGTCCTCATAATCGAATACCACTTGGTTGCACATCATTCTGCTTTAACCTGAAAAGATATAAAAGAGCGCTGCTGTATGGCATTAGCTCATTTTCGCTTCGGACGGCGTGGTGAATAGTAGCAATAGTAGCAGTAGGAAGGTGGTGACTAGTACACTCTCCTAAATCCAACAAGCAACAATTGACTGGTCGTGTCAAAGGAGGAAAAGGTCTTGGTTAAAGAGGCGCCAAGCGTCATCGCAAAGTTCTTCGCAAGTAACCGCCATCCGTCGTCTGGCTCGCCGTGGTGGTGTCAAACGTATCTCCGGTCTGATCTACGGGGTGTGCTGAAGCTGTTCCTGGAAAATGAGGTCCGTGATGCTGTCACCTACACTAAACACGCCAAGCGTAAGTGGCCATGGATGTCATCTACAATAAAACGGGCCTTTTCAGGGCCATAAAGCTTATAACAGTAAAGAGTTGGAATAGAATTTATCTGTGCCTGTTTGTCCATATTCAGAACCACAGGCCCCCAACGACCACACAAAATGCTCTCCAAAGTTGTAATCTTGTAACCAAACTTGGAAGCAGGGGTGCAAGTGATTTTGATTGATTCTCTTCATCAATTTTCTCTTTGAAAAAAAAAAAATACTACAAATTTGGTACGCCTACAATTCAAAAACGAGAAGAATTAAGGTGATACTCTAAGGAAGCCTTAGCGTGAAACTTTAAATGCACAAATGTCAGCTTCCACAAAACATACAAATTTGAAATTGCTACTCCTTTTTTGCTGTGCTACTACAGAGAGTAGCAATTTCAAATTTGTATGTTTTGTGGAAGCTGACATTTGTGCCTTTTAAGATTATTGATCAATTAAAAGAACTAAATGCTCTTCACATTTATTCCGTCCACTAGCGGTCCTACGTCAAGCTTCCGTTCGTGCCCCTAGGCACAGACCTTTCTACTTTTTTCTGCTCGATAAGCCCAAAATAGGCGATTAGACCGAAATAGTGCTCTACCCTACTTAGAACTGTTCACGTCGAGGATTCCGGTGATAATTTTGTCTCGAAGTATTCCGTCCTCCAATGTACCTGTGTGGCAGTGCCGATGTTTCGGCAACACTGTATGTAACACATTGCATTGCACGACGACCCTTGGATATTTCTCGGAACAGCAAAAAACTGTCCTATATACGGACGCATCGCCGAATGTCCTCGGCGCTGTTCTTGTTCAGGAGGATAACGAACGCCCTCCCCGTGTTATTAACTTCGCGTCAAAAGTTCTTACACCTACTGAGAAAAGATACCCACAAAATTAGCGTGAGGCAGTAGAGCATTTCGCCTATTTCCTACTTGGAAGGCCTTTTACCCTACGTACAGACGCGCAAGGTTTCACGTTAATTCTGAACAGATTGCGCGAGGATTCGAAGCGAGCTCTGAACCGTGCTGACGGTTGGGCCCTCAGGCTTAGTCCCTACAATTTTGACGTTGAGTATGTGCGAGGACGGGATAACATCGCGGATCCATCTTCAAGGCTATATGAAGGACACGATGGGCCCTTCGAGGAAGACGTCAGGCCTTGGGAGATTGCGTCCATCGAAGCAAACCCAACAGGCTTTCTAAGAGCACCCGCACCAATGCGTTGCTAAAGCTCCTTTAGCAACCCCCACCATAAGAGCACCCGCACCAATGCGTAGCCATTTGCGCTGTTATTATGATAACTTTGATGGTTGCTATTTTAGTTAACTATCGATTTACGCACCCGCCGTTGCTATCATAGTTGTTAATTAACCTTCTAATTTTCGCACCGCTAGTTGCTAATTCTGATAACTATCACCGGTTGCATGAAGAACTCTGAAAGAGTGACAGCTATTTGTTGTTGTTTGAGTTTCTTCTAAATTTACGTGCTGGATAGAACAATAATTGTGAAATGGAGAACGCGGAGATTTTGTTTGAGTATTTCTCAGAATCCAGTGATGAGGAAGAAGAATTTGCCGTGAAGCTACTACTACATGCGCAGGGAACCGTATTCTTGAATGCTGAAAAAAGGCGGGGTGGTTCCCAGCCTGGGAAACGGCCAAACATTAACAGACATGCAGAGGAAGGAGCAGCCCGATTACATGATGATTATTTTTCTGAGACGTCAACTTATACGAATGAACAGTTTCGACGGCGCTTTCGGATGCATCGGAATTTGTTTCTGAAAATCACAACAGCGATGGAAACAAACGAATATTTCCTTCAAAAACCTGATGCCACAGGAAAGTTTGGTTTGACATGCATCCAAAAATGTACTGCAGCTATCCGGCAACTCGCATATGGCTCACCATCGGATGCTATAGACGAATACGTCCGAATCGGTGAGTCAACAGCTCGGAAGTGCCTGCTGGTGTTTTGTCGCACTGTTGATGAAATTTTTAGCGAGCAATACATGCGCTCTCCAACGCAAATGGATTTGCAACGATTACTTGAAGTAGGAGAAAAGCGGGGCTTTCCAGGTATGTTAGGATCGCTGGATTGCTGCCATTGGCAGTGGAAAAACTGCCCTACTGCTTGGGCTGGGCAGTATAGAGGGAAGGAGAAAAAACCTACTATAATCCTCGAAGCGGTCGCGTCGTATGATCTGTGGATTTGGCACGCTTTTTTTGGAATGCCAGGATCCAACAATGATATAAATGTGCTGGATCGGTCTCCGCTCTTCTCCAACGTTTACTGCGGCAAAACTCCACCAGTTGAGTTCAGTGTCAATGGTCGCACCTACAACACCGGATATTATTTAGCTGACGGAATATATCCTCCTCTCTCCACACTGGTACAAACTATATCGTCACCCGCTGGACAAAAACGAAAGGTATGTAGTTAAATGTTTATTCATGTAGGTATTAGAAAAAGTCTTATGCTGGGCGCCCACTAGTGTGGTGGAGGTGGGGCATCTGCTAGCATGTCAAAACATGACATGTTTTATGATGTCACACCTCCGCCACATTAATGGGCGCCCGGCCTTAGGCCTAGTCTAGGTTTAGTTTCATGCTTTGACCGCTTTTACGGTGTATGGTTGTTCCGAATCCGGAGGATCACCCATGGCCTACCGGTCACGACATCGAATTTATTTCGATAACACATCAACAAGTGCTTTGGAATAAATCACGGAGGTTCAGGATAAATTTCATGAATTGACCACTTATACAGATGTTCTAGATCTTCCAAAGGATCACCCTGGGGGTCCATGTTCCGGTCACAACTTCGAATTCATTCTGAAAATAAATCAACAAGTGCTTTCGAAAAAACCTCCGAATTCTAGAACAATTTTTCTTAATTGGGATCTTTCACGGATGTTTCGGATCTTCCAGTGGATCACTCGTGGCTCCTACGGTCCTTATTACGGTCATAATATCGAATTATTTCTGGTAAGACGTCTAAAGTAGTTTAAAAAAAAACCACGTAGCTCTAGGATCAATTTTATGAATTGATCACTTTTACTATTGCTCCGGATCTTCCGGATGATCCCTCCGAAGCTCCCTGGGTCCATTTCACGGTCACAACATCTAATTCGTTGTGACAACTCATTCAAGAAATGCTTTCGAAAAAACAGCACCGTGGGAGCAGTTTCATGAAATGACCACTTTTACGGTTGTATCGCATCATCCGGAGGATCACCCCAAGGCCTCCAGGGTCAATTTTTCAGTCACATTTTTTAATTCATTCTGATAACACATCAACAAGTGCTTTCGAAAAAACCATGGAACTCTAGGATAAATTTCATAAATTGAATACTTTTACAGTGGTTCCGGATCTTCCGGAGGATCACCCCGTAGCTCCAAGTGGGTCCATATTCCGGACAAAATATCAAATGTATCCTCAAAACACATCAACAAGTGCGTTCGGAAAAAACCGCAGAGCTGTATAATCAATTTTTTGAATTAACCACTTTTATGGTTGTTCCGGATCTTCCGGAGGATCATCCCGTACCCTTCAGGGTCCTTATTCCGGTCACAATATCAAATTCATCCTGATAACGCATCAACAAGTGTTTTTGAAAATATCGTGGAGCTTTATGATCAACTTAATTAATTGACCGCTTTTACGGTTGTTCCGGATCATTCGGTGGTTCACCCCAAGGCCCCAGGGACCATTTTTCGGTCACAACTTTGAATTCATTCTGACAACACATCAACAAGTGCTTTCGAAAAAACCGCGGAGCTCTAGTAACAGTTTCATGAATTAACTACTTTTTCGGTTGTTCCGGATCTTCCGGAGGACCAGTTTGTGACCTGCTGGAAGCAAAGTTCTACCAAAAGGAATACTATCTGCACAACATTTTTCCCAAAGACACCAGGAAGCTCTCTCTTGAAATAATCCCAAAATCAGGGGCCACATTGCGCAGCTCGAAACGAAAAACTTTTTCAAACAAGCGTTCGTATAAAAAATGTTCCGTTTCGAGCTGCGCAATGTGGCCCCAGAGTTGGGTCCCAATTAGCTCAAATCCCAAATCAACCGTTCTATAGGAATCCGGAATAAACGAATCCGTACTAGTAGGAACCTTAACTATATGTCTCGAAAACCAGGACAAAATTGAAAAAAAAATATCAACTGGAGCTAAATAACCTCCCGCATCGATGAGTTGGAGCATTTCTCTTTGAAAAGAACTTTTTTACCCATATATAAATTACTGTAACTCTAAACTTTTCCAAAAGAAAAAGTTTTAAAACCTTTTTTTGAAAAAAGTTTAGAGTTACATTTGTTAAGTTTAAGTTCATGTTTAAAAAATTTGTTCCACTATTTCTTTTGTTCACAGTACTTCGCAGAAAAGCAAGAATCGGCCAGGAAGGATGTTGAACGTGCCTTTGGAGTGTTGATGGCTCGGTTTGCCATTATAAAAAATCCGGCCAGTGTAACCCTCGTCCAGGGTGACAATTATAAACCACCCTTTTGCCGTGTTTGCCATGAGCGTGTGTCTTGTCTGTTATAATTTGTTTTTGTTTTGGTCACACGCTCGGCAACATACTCATGTAAATATTTTAATTTGTTATTTTCTTTGTAGATTTTATTCGGTTTTTTATGTTGTTAGTTTAGCTAGATAGGAAAAAATTATCGTTTATTAATGTATCGCGTCTCAAATAAAGTTAGGTCCTGATTCTCCTCCCGCTGCAGACGAAGGCGAAAAACATAATCAACATAACAGTCGAGCGCGGTTGCAGGAGCGATGGCGGTTTTGTTTTGGTGTTGTGACGTTGTGAAAAAAAAGAGGAGAACAGTTCGAGCCACGTTGGAGTCTACGCGGGTTTTTCGTTCGGAGACGTTTTTTTTCTTAGTCCCGAGAAAACGGACTTTAACTGGGAAAAGTTTGCCCAGCCGCGACGCGAGTGCCAGTACGCATCTTCCCAGTGCACCGCGAGTGGAAGTCGGCCCCGTGGCTGCGAAAATTAGTGTTGTTGAGTGCAACAGAGTGTCGGATCGCCATTGTGGGAAGCTAAACACTAAGGAGCTAATCGCTTCCCCGGCTAACCAAAAAGGATCCGGTAGACACTCGCCGTCCTGACTGCGGTGGCTCAGCCAATAGAGCCAGTCTCACCACCGCAGTTAATCGTCAAGCAGGACGAAGCAGGCGATACCAGAGGTGAGTTTGCCTGGGCAGAAACACTGCGGTGTCTGTCGGGGTTGCCTACGGCGAGTAGGCAATCCGGTGATTCGTCACCAACGTCGCCGGGGGGGTTCCAACAGACGAGCCCAGCTCATCCCCCCCGCTAAGTGTCAAGGACAGCTGCTAAGCAGCCGAATAAGCAAACCGCTCAGCACAGTCCGTGCTTTGTAGCAGCAGAACCGCCGCCATACCGTCGTCGAAGGGCCCCACCGAAGAGCAGCAACAGCAACAGCGAGGAGGAGAGGGCAAAGATAAGTAGCGAATAGACGTCTAAAATTGCATTTCCTTTTGTTGTTTTGTCCCACCCAAATCCGAACGTCTTTGGGGGAAGTACCCTTGCTCGAGGCCGCCCCGCCGGGGTAAAATCGGGCCAGCTATAGGCTGGCAGGTAAGCCGTAGCTTACACCAGGTTGTGGAATAAAGAGGATTTAAAATCCATTATTCGCACCTGTATAATTCTACACAACATGATCATTGAAAATGAACGTGATGATCCTACGCCATTCGATGGAGAGGAAAATATTGTCGGGCCGCCACTAAACCGGACCACGCTAGCGCGACTTGCGACCCGACGTTCAGTCGCGACAATGTGGTTTGACGTGTTAATGTCAAAGTTCTGTCATTACTGTTGTCACCAGGTGGATTTGCAAATAAATAATGTTTTTTTTTGTTAGCTTGATCCCATCGCACAAGATTTTTGATTAAAAATTGTCCTCTATTTAATATGAAGCCAAACACAAAATCTAACATAATTATTCAGAATATTCGTGGTCAACACGCCAGCAGTAACACGGTTTATCATGCGCTTTACGGCCATTATTTTCTCGGGATATCGAAGAAGGATCTTAGTATCATTTATGGAAAATGCCGATCAACTATTTACGAGTGGTTCTTCAAGTACGAGCGAGATGGAATTTTCCGAAGGAAGCAGCGCCTGCAAGTGTTTAAGAAATTCAGCACCGATATGCGTGATTGGCTTGTCAACCTATATCAAAACGAGCCTTTCTTGTTTTTGGACGAAGCGAAACAGCGATTCCAACAGCGATTTCTGCTATCGATAAGTGTGTCATCTATTTGCACAATATTGCATGAATCTGGATTGACCTGGAAGACTATCGAAAGAAGGGCTATCCAGATCAGAGAGGATGAGATAGTCCGGTTTGTTAAGGAAATGCTTGCAGTTCCATGGGACTTGTTTAACCTGGTTTTCCTAGACGAGGTTAGTATTGACAATAAGGATATGCTGCGCAAAAAAGGCTACGGAGTTGTTGGCCAGAAACTTATTTATCGCGGGGAATTCTGTAGAAAGCCTAGGGTTTCTTTCTTATGTTTTCTAGGAATCAATGGTATGCTAGATAGTTTCTGGACGGAAGGAACATTCAACCGGCATAAATTTTTCAGATGTTGTCGAAACTTTGCTATAAATAATCCCCATGTACAACGGTATCCTGGGTTTCACTCTATTTGGGTTTTGGATGGTGCTCGCATCCATTGCGACGCCAATATCATAAGATATTTTCGCTCTATTGGCATCATACCGATATTTCTACCACCATATTGCCCATTTTTTAACCCTATAGAGATTATCTTTGGCTTAATTAAGGCGTACCTTAGAAGGAATTACCGAGAGACTGGCTCCATTTTGAAAGAAGTTTGTGCAGCTATGAGTGCATTCAAAGTCTATGAGTGTAAGCAGATATTCGAATACTGTGGATACTTACCTGGGGGCGTTTTTCTTGCAGAAAAAGGTCTGGACCAAGACCCTAAATATATGGATTTCAATATTATTCCTGAATGAAAGTCATGAGCAGTCGTATATTTGATGAATAAAAGGAATGTTTAAAACAGTTGCATTGTTATATTTGTTATATTTTGATAAAAAAAAAGAGTACATGTGATAATTCCACACAACGGGCTTATTTTCATAATCATCCCGCATGATCCACATCCTCGCAATCAGTCACCTTCTCGGCTATCTCACGACTAAGGTTTGATTCTTCCGGTCGCGTAACCGATTCCATCGCTGTAAATAGTTCAGAATTCACCGATCCTCTGGCGGACATGCTGTCTATTTTCTGTTTCATTCCTTGCAAGATATTAAGAGCCATGTTTAAGTCATTCGAAAGATCAGTCATATCACGGCACCATGCATCATTATTTGTTTGGGCAGCAACCATACTCCGATGAACAGATTGTAGTCGAGCCGCTTCCGAGACACCAGTCCAGCGAAAGTATTTGGACAACTCGATAGGAGGAGATTCAGCTTGCAACATTCGATCACGGTTGTGGGCTGGAGCTGAATTGATCAAGTTTGCCCACAGCATCCAGGAACTGAAGTGTCCCTCAATGTGGGAATGACTGCTTCGTAGCTCACTAGCTAATACTGAGTCATCCCTAGTTGAATGCGCCCCTGAGCGGTCAGGGTTTTGAGGTGCAATCAATCTTCGCATTACTAATTGATACTGACCTAATGATTCAATATTCGTGGAATAAGCATACACGAATATCTTAATAGATTTGCTCCTCCATGACACCAGCAGCCGTGGTGTGATACGTGATGTTGCATAGATCTTTTTCTTCACCGTATCTTGTAGCGAAACGAATTTATCGATGTCCTCAAATTCTGGATCTTGTTTTTCCGACCAGTGAGGAATTTCTTCTTCGAAGATCACCTGTCGACGTACCAGTTTGCAAGCTTGTTTCCAAATGCATTGAAGTATCTCCTCGAGTGAATTCCCATTCACAAGTGTTTGGGTTACTTCCTTTGGCCGCAGCTGGCTTTTATATAAACGCTGAACATAGATCCCATTGAAGCAGAATTTTGACTGCACTCCTTCATCATCCGATCCAGAAAACTCAATGTCAAAGTTCATTTCCTGAGTCGCTGTCTGATGTACTGATGGCATGTCCGTATCGTCAACATTTCCACCAGCACTGGAGTCGATGTTGCTGGTACCTTCGAGTGGGTTGCCGTCTTGATAACCATCTTCTTCCTCAAGGTATTCTTCCGGTCCGTACGAACTGTAAAAATAAACCCTACATTAAGATAAACTAATTGTCTTAAATTTCATAGTAAATTTTTAATAAACTTACCCGTCCATTTTCACCGGATAAAAACAATAACAAGGAGCAAATTGACAAAACTGATTTCAGACTGTGAAGAATAATTGACAACAAAAACAACACGCTAATCAGAAGTACCTCACAATACTTACGTTTTACGCACACTCAAAGAAAAAAAACACTTTCGATAAAAAGGGAGCTTATTACATGGAATATAAGATGTTTTAAACATTAGAATGGTGAATTAAATACTTTGAAATGTCAACAGACTAAATTGATGTGTCTAGATTAGCTGATAATGTTTTCTTACGCGTTTAGATTCTGAATTTTATTTACTGTAATGTGAGAAGTTTTTTTAGTGTGCGTTTCGCAAGTTAAATAGGAATTCGGGTAGTTGCGCCCTCCTTCTGAATTTCTATCGAATAGACAATAGTGTTCATGAAGTAATGAGACCAGTGGATAATTTTGCAGTGTTCCTGAATCGGTATATGAAAGTACATAACACAAGCCTTCACCATCAACTTCAGAATGATCTGATTGAGCATCTGTGGAATATTTATGAAGAGGGACGAAGATTAATTTAATATTTACTTCAATGTTGCTTCAATTTCAATCTTAACAAGTAATAAATCAAAGAATTTCAAAAACTCAGGTTATAAAACTGTTTTGAAGCGATCTCACCTCCTGTTCACAAGCTATGAATACTGATCACCGTGACCAGACTACAACTTGGAGAGATCTTTGATATTCCATCATACTCGCCGTTGAAAATTAGCATGAACTGGCTTGAACTATATGTTGCATGCTCATGTTCCGTCGAGGACAAAAAGTGACATGCAGAACCGCATTCCAGAAGCTCTAGCCATCGTGCCCAGACTGCAGCTTGGAAGGATCTCTGGTACTTCATCACACTTGTCTTTGAAAATTAGCCTGGAATGTGTCGCGTGCTTTTGTTCCGTTGCAGAAAAAAAGTTGTATGCATAATTGGAGGATCTGGATATTGACTACCGTGGCCAGACTACATCTTGGAGGGACCATCCTGGGGACCATTCTTCGACATGAAAAAAGATCGTTTATTACTTTGAATGTTAATTCTGCATTTGAACATACCTGCTGCAAGAGATCTGGAAGAATTCAAACAATCAAAATTGGGAACATCTATCAACCTTTCTATGCGCACGACTATTGACAGTGCGAAAGTGAGGCTAACAATAACAAACCAACCTTTTTGACTGGAGTGAAAGTGAGGATAACAAATCTCACACTTGAAAATGGGATTACGCAAGTGTGCGTGTTATAAACGTCAGAAAGGTCAATAAGCAGCATCTCTGCTTATTGATGTTTTTGTATGATAAGTCTTGAAAAAAATTGTGTTCGGAAGCGATACATATTGTCAACCTAATAGGTTGTTACATTATAGAGGTCCTACACAACTCAGGAGGGGCCTCGAGAGGAACTTAGTTTCCTAGACAGCCCTAATGGCTTGTGTCAATCAGTCAAAAAAAAACCGAACTGAATTGTGTTTCACATTTTATTATTTTCTATAATAGATTCAAACCAATAAAGTATCTTTTATTAACCAATACTTATGGATTAAGTAACAGAAGAAGAACGATTTTTGAAGTGAAGTTAAAGCTAAGTGTGAAGCTAAAAATCATCGTCAAAATCGCTGTCAATTAAATGTTGGGCTGTTCCATCTGGATCATATTCCTCGTCATTTTCTTCGGGAGTACCATCCACGTACACCCAACCATCATTATCCAGAAGTTCCGGTCTCGGTTCCAGTTCCATTTGGGCATACTTTCTGGTTTCGTTAAGGATCCTCTTCTGCTCCAGCAAATAAAATTCCCTGGCAGTATCATTTAAACCATTCAAGTCCATTGACATTATTGAATGGTTTGCCAATCTGCTCAAAGATAGAGCTTTTTGCTTACTGTAGGTTAACCTTTCCGTTGCAGCAAAAGCCAACAGATTTCCAGCCTTTGCCATTGCAATTCCTGCATGAGCAGTGGCACATTGTTGATTTGCCTTTCGAGCTTTACTGGCCTTTTGCCCGATCGGACGACCGGAAGATGATGGCTCAGCGTCTGGCATACTTGTTTCTTCTCTTGCCAAATCAATGTTTTCTGTTGTGGCCCTTTTTCGATTCGGTGGTGTCTAGAAAAACAGTAATAATATTCGTAATAATAATGGTTGAAATATAAGAAATACATACCTTTACTGTGTGGTATTGCTGCCACTTCGGTGCACCATGTAAAATGATGAAGCAGTGCATCAACGTAAAAGTAGTTTTTTCCTTGGTTGCAAATAATGCAACCGCCTCTTTAACTACATCTTCCGAAGAAGCACCACTCTGGCAACGATTCTCTATTTGAGCTAGACTGCCAGCGAACTTGCAAACCATTTTACTGATATGGTGCCATCTGGCTTTGATGCCACTAGGGGCACGTAGCTCCGGGTTTGCTGGAACTTGTTTCTCCGAGCAAATCTCAAGAAAATTATTATACACGCGATCGTACATTGTTTTCGCTCGCTGGTTGGTACCGAAACTTGCGTCCTGCGAAGTATTCAACCACGCAATACACAATGCTTCATCCTCCTGCGTGGTCCAATTTGATCCGCGTTTTGAAGCACTCATTGTATAAAAACTGTAATATTAGCACTTTAAAAATTACCGCCTGCAACGAAAATCACGTAAACAAAATCAAGGCGGACAAAAAACAAAACAAACATTTGACGTTTGTTTCAAATAGCAACTTTGCGATGCGTTGCTACCGAGTAGCTAGATTTATGAACTCGCTACTTCCCGAGGTGTGGATTGCTATTTCCAGCATCTGAATAGCAACCCCCGGTGCGGTAGTTGCGTTATGGTGGGGGTTGCTAAAGGAGCTTTAGCAACGCATTGGTGCGGGTGCTCTAACGGAAGATGAGATTAAAAAAGCAACTGCGACGGATACACTTCGTCAGGAGGTATACTCATATATAAATTTATGCGTGCTGTTTCAAGCAACTGTATCTTTGTAACTCTTACAGGATGCCCTCGAAACGGAAATCTGGCCAAAGCAATTAAAAAGATTTGATGTGTTAGGCAGTGACATAGTTGTTCGAAAAGGGATCCTAGCCAAAACTGGTTGCGCAGTTATTCCGGAAAATCTTCGACGGAAAACTTTAGCAGTTGCACACCAGGGCCATCCATCAACGGCAAAATTTAAAAGTATTTTGAGGGAACGTGTATGGTGGCCTGGCATGACCAAAGATGCGGAAGCATGGGTAGATACATGTGCGGTTTGTGCGACCAACGGAAAACCAGAGAAACCGACACCCATGGAGCGTGTTTTCGCACCCAACACTGTTTGGGAAACAGTCGCTGTTGATTTTAATGGTCCATACTTGAAATACGGTGGGATCTCAATCCTGGTCATTGTCGACTATCGTTCCAGGTATGTGATTGCGAAACCAGTAAAATCCACGAGCTTTGAAAGTACGAGGAAAGTCTTGGAAGCAATATTCGAGAAAGAAGGCTTTCCACAAAACATAACATCCGATAATGAGGGGGGCCAACGGCGAAGATTATAAAAAGTATTGCCTTGAGCGTGATATCAACGTAATCTTCTCCACCCCATTACACTCCCAGCAGAATGGGCTGGCAGAAAGTTGCATGAAGTTAGTCAACAAAGCAATGGCTGCTGCTTCATTAAGTGCAACGAGTTATATTGACGAATTGAATGCCGCAGTACACGCGTATAACGCGGCTGCCCATTCCGTCACAAGAATACCACCCGAAGAAGTAATAATGGGGAGGAAAATAAAACGTGGACTTCCCCTGTTATCCCGAGGGAAAGCAAAATTTGATGATGACCTGCTGAGCACCAGAGATCGCGAATCCAAGATCCTAGCAAAACAACGGGAAGATCTTAGGCGAGGAGCTCGCCAGTGGCGGATTAAACCAGGTGACACGGTTGTAGTACAACGCCAGACTCGTGCGAAAGCAGAATCCCGATTCGATCCTCGTAAGTACACCGTGATAGAAGAAAAAAGTGGCATGCTAGTCCTGAACGACACCAATGGCCAGGTTCTGAAAAGACACGTGTCGCAAACCAAGAGGTCCATGATTGGAGACAGCCTAGAGGAATAAGCAAGCCTGGAGAGCCCGAAGGAGTAAATAACAGTCCTGACTCCACTCAATGTCCTGTAGGTGAAACTACGGGAACCGACTCAACACCGCTAGTAACTTGGCGTCCGGTAAGAGAAAAGCGAGCACCAGCGTACCTCAAGAATTACATTCATGTAACGGAGAATCATGGTGCACCACAGTGAGAAGTTGGACCGCCGTTGGACTCTTGAGGGATTCTTCGGAGTATGACCCGGAGCAGCTGAACATCGTACATTAAAATCCTGTCTAATTTAGAAAGCAGTCGACTAATAAAATGACCATAAACTTCACAACAAGCTGTCATTTTTCACTCCTCGGTTCAACCTTTTTTTAGGTAGAAGGGGGTAGAGTCGGTGTATAATGAGTCACGCCAAGAGTGAAGCCAAGTCTACCTATTGAACTGTCAAACCGGCTACCTATCGTGCAAAGTAAACAAAAATTACGATGCTATGAAAAGTCTACGAAAGGTATTGCAATAAAATATAAAATAAAATTGAAGAAATGATCATAAACACGCAATGAGCATTAAATTGTCATTGGATACGTTTGCTAATGATCAGTAATGAGAATTTCTACTATTGTTTGATAAGATAATTTGACAAAAAAACACTGATATAATGATTCACTACAGCCGCAATTTTTTGTTCTAGCTAGAAGTCATTTGAAGTTGATGTAGAAGTCCTCTGTTGCCAAGTGAAAAGAAAGGGAATCCTTCGAAAACAGGGATGCGGGTTCAACTGTTTTTCTCTTGGCGTGACTCATTATACACCGACTCTAGAAGGGGGATGCGTGGCAGTGCCGATGTTTCGGCAACACTGTATGTAACACCCGTTGTTTCGCCTTTCATTCCTTCCATCTTGTATAGGCATTCTTGGCTCATCACCGTCGCTGCGATCCAATGACGTTTATATAAGGTCTGGGCCAAGGGGCTTATTGGTGTTAGTGAAATGTGCAAATGGTTAGTGGTGTTCGTATTACATTGCAATGTTTATCTTTTTACACGAAACAGCTGTTGGCAGTGACGTATTTCTATCTGTTCTCAGTATGTTGGCAGTGACGTATATCTATCTGTTCGCAGATGTTCAGCAATGTTTACAACATTTTTGCTTCTAACACCAGCAAGCTGCCTGTTGGCCCAGACCTTATATAAATGCCATTGGCTGCGATCGTCGTGCAGCACCAAGCATCGTGGCTTTTCGTGTGCTGCTATCAGAAGAGGTAAGACGCATTTGGCAATTCAGCAGCGTGCTGGGCATTCCTCAGTTTCGGGGTATTTGTAGTACCGAAATTGCAATCTTTGACGAGCTTCCGTGCTCTGTTTATAAAGTGCGACATTCTTTCTTCTTCACCGGTGTCACTGTAGGACTGCTGTTGGCACTGGTAGAATTCGTATCGTGCCAATTTCACATCCCTCTGTGGAACATGTACCGTGACAAAGATGCAAGACAGGCTGCTACCGTATTTTGCTCTTCCGGATGTAGAGGCCACAAATTGAAAAATGTTCGGACCTCCAGTCCGAGCGCTGCCTTGAAAGTTGCTGCCACGTTCTCCTTCATGTTCCCGGCGAGCTTCAGTTCATCCGGAAAGGGGATGTTGCTGTTCATTGCGGGTGATGTCGCAATCGCTGCTGGTACCGGAGTTGGAGCTGGAGCTGGAGTTGGAGCCGGAGCTGGAGTCGGAGCTGGAGCCGGAGCTGGAGCCGGAGTTGGAGTCGGAGCTGGAGTCGGAGCTGGAGCCGGATCTAGAGCCGAAGCTGGAGCTGGAGCTGGTGCCGGAAGCTGGAGCCGGAGCCGGTACTGGAGCCGGAGCCGGTGCTGGAGCTGGAGCCGGTGCTGGAGCTGGATTCGGGCCTGGATTCATGTTCGCTGTTTGTTTCGTTTAATCTGCTGCTACTGTGGATGGCAACTTTCCTCCACCAGAAGTACGTTGAATTTCTGGCCAATTTCTTTATTGCGTAGTAGTTTTTTTTATATTCTAACGCCATGGTACGCAGTAGTCAGTGAATCAATGAAAATGCAGAGGTTTTGACAGAACTACTATATGCTGTGGCTGTCCATATACAGTAGCGCCAAAAGCATGCTGTGGTGGGTTCAAAACATAGCCATCTACATTCATCAGTTGGACGGGTGAATTGACAAATCCAAGTTTGAATCGGCCACCGAATTAATGTGTCAAACCGAGGGGGACGACTCTATCTACGATGCAAAATAAATTGTGTTATGCTGTGGCTAGCTGCACGCACGCTGAGCAGATAGAAAAAAAGGTTAATGACGATTCTGAAGATTTCCTGCAAAAAAATGATGCGCGATGCAAGTAGATGCGACAAATGAAAGAAGATTTTTCGAAGATTGATTCGCTAGTGTGAGATTTATTGAGCATCTAAACTTGAGTAAACGTGTCAAACTGATTACATTTTTGAAATTGTGACCAAAAAACTATTATTTACGATTTATTCTAGCGAGCTTCTGTGGAAGTCAAAACATGATCCGAGCAAAAAAGGTAGTACTCTTAATAATGGTTTGTAATGCTGAATTTTAAAGTGCTTTGTTTCGAAAATATCTTCCAAATAAACAAACATCATCCACATCACCCATTAGTCCACCGACTAAATCTATTGCCACTTTTTATGAATTTCAGTCGGTGTTTTAGTGGAGATTTAGTTTCATATAGCTGGAAAGCAATTGAATTGAATTCCATAAATTTTACCGAACAGTTCAGCTGTTCAGATTTCGGTAAAAATTACCGATGTCGGCGATAATTTCTAAGTGCATGCCACTAGACTCATTTTATTCAATGAGCAAAGTAAATACAAAGTGGAGGTTTTTTTATAGTTGACCCTTACTTACCTTACCTTACCAATCAGACTAAGGCCTTGTTGTCCTCTGCTGTCCGAAGAAGTCGTCTCCACTCTACTCGATCCATGGCCACACTTCGCCAGCCTCGTAGTCTGCGAAGGGTCCGCAAGTCGCCTTCTACTTGGTGGATCCACCTTGCCCGCTGCGCGCCTTTTCTTCTTGTTCCTGTTGGGTCGCTTTCTAGAACCATTTTCACTGGGTCGTCGTGCGGCATTCTTACGACGTGCCCAGCCCACCGTAGTCGCCCAATTTTTGCAATGTGGACGATGGATGGTTCTCCCAGCAGCTGGTGCAATTCGTGGTTCATTCGCCTCCTCCACGTTCCGTCATCCATCTGCACTCCACCGTAGATGGTACGCAACACCTTCCGTTCGAAAACACCAAGGGCGCGTTGGTCCTCCACGAGCATAGTCCAGGTCTCGTGGCCGTAAAGGACCACCGGTCTAATCAGCGTCTTGTAGACAGTCAACTTCGTGCGGCGGCGAATTTTATTCGACCGGAGCGTCCTCCGGAGTCCAAAGTAGGCACGATTCCCTGCCATAATGCGTCTTTGAATTTTTCTGCTGGTATCATTTTCGGTGGTCACCAGTGAGCCCAAATACACGAACTCATCGACCACCTCGATTTTGTCACCGTCAATCTGAACTCGGGGTGGGAGGCTAACATTGTCTTCCCTAGAACCTCTCTCTTTCATGTATTTTGTCTTTGATGCGTTGATGGCAAGTCCAATCCGCCTAGCTTCAGCCTTCAGTCTGATGTTCGTTTCCGCCATCGTCTCAAAGTTCCGTGCCATGATGTCAATGTCATCGGCGAAGCCAAGAAGCTGGATGGACTTCCTGAAGATCGTGCCACTCGTGTCTATAGTGGACCCTACACGATTGCTATTATTGACAATAATCGTATTGTCAATACATTCTATATTGACGTCAATAGATCGGTATTGACAATATTTCTGTATTCACATCATCAATATTATTGTCAATAATTCCTCTTCGCGTCAAAATATTGAAACGTGTGGGGTTCGCTTATCCCAGCTCTTCTGATCAAACCTTCTAACGCGATGTTGAATAGCAGACTCGAGAGTGTCCCCGATACTCGAACAACGCACATTACTCGATCCATCGTCGTCTTGACCAATCGCGTCAGTTTATCCGGAAATCCGTACTCGTGCATAATCTGCCATAGCTTATCTCGATCGATTGTGTCGTATGCGGATTTGAAATCGATGAACAAATGATTGGTTGTATTCGCGGCATTTCTGCAGAACCTGCCGGGTCGTGAAAATTTGGTTCGTGGTATCCTATGAATCCCGCCTACTATTGCCCCACGAACTCTCTTGCAAATGGTGACGGCGGCATAGAATTTGGGAGAGTACCTTGTAGGCGGCGCTCAGCAGTGTGATCGCGCGGTAGTTGCAGCAATCCAACTTGTCGCCCTTTTTGTAGATTGGGCATACGACACCTTCCATCCACTCCTCCGGTAATATCTCCTCTTCCCAAATCCTGGCAATTACCCAGTGCAGCGCTCTAGCCAGTGCTTCTCCACCGTATTTTAATAGCTCACTTGGTAGTTGATCTACACCAGTTGCTTTGTTGTTCTTCAGCCGACCGATCTCCTCCTCAACTTCTTGAAGATCAGGGGCCGGTAGCCTGTCGTCTTCTGCGCGTGCTCCAAGGTCTGTTGCCGTGCCACCTTCGTTTTCTGCTGCTTCACCGTTGAGGTGCTCGTCATAGTACTGCTTCCACCTCTCAATCACCTCACACTCGTTCGTGAGAAGGTTGCCGTCCAAGTCCTTGCACATATCGGCTTGCGGCACGTAGCCTTTGCGCGAACTATTTAGCTTCTCGTAGAACTTCCGTCTGTCGTTTACGCGGTACAGATTTTCCATCGCCTAGCGATCTCGGTCTTCCTGCTGACGCTTCTTCCTTCGGAAAACCGAGTTTTGTCTGTTCCGCACTTGTCTGTATCGCTCCACATTCAATCTCGTGCGGTGTTTCAGCATTCTCGCCCGTGCTGCATTCTTCTCCTCTACTAACAGTTTGCATTCGCCGTCAAACCAGTCATTTCTTCGGTCCGGGATTGCAGTACCTAGTGCCGCTACAGCAGTACTACCTATGTCAGAACGGATTTCCCTCTAGTCATCTTCAAGAGAAGCTGCGCCAAGCTGCTCTTACGTGGGTAGTGCGACTTCCAGCTTGTAGTTGACCCACCTGCGTTTACTTTTCCAGGCTCATTTGCCGTAGCTTTGCGGAGCCGATATTCATCGCTTGGGCTACAAAATTACTTAATACTAACGTTAGTAAAGCGGGAGCCGATTACTCGCGGCTATCTTGAGGTTAGGGGTAGCAAATTGTAACACACGGATGGCAGGGTAGGGATTGAGAACACAAGGTTTTTTTCGAGCAATGTGCTCTTGATCTAGAACTAAGCGACATACTGGAGAAAAAGACGAACATGGGGACCTAGCAACTTGAGCGAATACAAGATGACACTAACTACTAAATCCTCAGATCGTTCCGTTTAAAAAACACATAAAATAAATTAAAATAATCGAGATCTCGGCTCGCCAAGATGTCTCGCAAAGGTTGTTTTCCTAGGGCCCTGAGGGATGCGGATAACTCGGATCTAGCAACACAATGGAGGGTGCATGACCAAAGCACGTGGTCGATATTGTGATGGCCACTACCACAAGCGCACAAATTGCTGCGAGCCCGATTCGGAAGAAATGCGAGTCTAACGAGTAACGATTGGACATGAGCCTTGAAATGACACGTATAAAGTCACGGCTCATGTCCAATCCGTTGAACCATGGCTTGTTCGATACCTGAGGGAGAATAGAATGTACCCATCTTCTCAGATCACTCTCATTCCATTTTTGTTGCCAGTTGGTGAGGACGTGCTGACGGGTAATTGAGAAAAATTCCGCAAAGGCGATTTGTCGATCAAAAATATCGCCTTCCATAACGCCCACCTTAGCTAACGAGTCCGCTTTCTCATTACCCGGAGTTGAGCAATGAGATGGGACCCAAACTAAGGTGATGGTATAGGAGCAGTTAGATAAAGTACTCAATTTAGCTCGGATTTCGGTCAGGAAATACGCGGAGTGCTTTATCGGCCACATTGATCGAAAAGCCTCCAACGAGCTAAGGCGATCAGTAAAAATAAAATAGTGATCAGATGGTAGTGAGGCAATTTGCTCTACTGCGTAGAATATGGCTGCTAGTTCCGCAACGTATACGGAACAGGGTTTTTTCAGTTGATATGAGGCGCTATGAAATTCGTTGAATACTCCAAATCCAGTGGAAGTGTTTATAGTTGACCCATCTGTGAAAAAAACTCTTATTGTTACTGACATGGTGGTACTTGTTTGCAAAAATTAGGGGAACAACCATCGACCGATGGTGATGTGGTATTCAACGGATTTCTTGCAACATGGTCAGATCAAAATTTACAGAGGAACTATAAAAGCCTTGGAGGCAAACACGACAGGAATTGAATGAAGCAGGGCCCATATTCAGAGACTCATGAATCTTGTTTGAGGATTTCTGTCGAGCAGCTTCTCAAAGTTTTCTATTACCAATGGGTTCATTACTTCACAACGGATAAGAAACCGGAAGAACATAGTGGAGGTTGTTATGAATAATTTCATGAAAGCAAATATAGGATGATAGGTGTAAGCATTTCCATAACACAAATTTTGCAGAATTAGTATTAAAAATTTGTTTGGCTCCTCAAATGCCATTGGCCGAATGGGGTTTTACAATTTGATCTAGATTTATGAAAATCTGTATTACATCGCTTATAACCCTCGATGACCCGCCATTATTGAATCTCAAACAGTTCGTGTCAAAAACAATAGTGAAGGATACATTTGTCCATACCAACAGACGTGGAAAGCTGGGTAGCCCTAATAAAATTTATATGGTTATTTTGCTTAACGACGTATTAAGGGAATCATCCAATCCATTTGTTGAATAGTTCTACCATTTGTGTTATCGTTCGGGTATAGTAC